ACGTTTTACTCGTACTTTGTCAATCCCTGTCGCTGTCAGCAAATGAAATCCAGCTGTCAAATCATTTTCCCCTCCCTCTAATTTTCCTTTCCAAGAATCTTGACAAAAAAGGGGAATTGGGGGGAGGGACGGGTTTCTGAAATAATAAGCAGATCTTTTCTGGGTATAGAGACGCGTCTTCCTTTTTACCCTTTAAAAGAGGAAGAACTTATTAAGCAAAGGAATAAAAAGCAGAAGTAATAAGTTTCAGGGTAAAAAAAAATCTTATCACTTTGCTTCTTTTGGCAGGGAACTTACGAAAAGAATTAACGATGTTGGGATAGCGGAATGGAGTAATGGAAAAGAATGAAAAATAGATTTGAGGAGCTAAGAATTAAGGGATTTTTTCTTCTTCTTACTCTGCTGAATTTTATTAGCTTTAGACGCATTATTCTGAAAATTTATGACAGAAGATTATCCTGTCTGACGGATAAATTAAAGCAGAACTATAACCGTAACGTAAGAAAAAATATAAGTAAATATTCTAGGTAAACAAAGGCAATTTTGTTTTTCCTTGCTTATGTATATTCACAAATAGATTTTTGTGAAATTGTGAAAACTGTTATGCTGAAATTGAAAGCTGTTTCGAGATAAAATATTTATTTTTTGATATAGTTATCGTTGATATTTTATGCAAGGTGTTAAAAAAAAGGTTTGGAAAGGGTCAAAAGCCTCAATAAATAAAAGTGAAACTAGACATTTTTAATATTTTTTAAAAGTTATCATCTGATTAACTCAATCGTTGACTCCCACCCCCGAAAGTTGGACGGGGGGCAGTTAGGAAATCTTAAATATGAACCATTACTTTCTCTTAATGCAGAGTCGTATTTTCCAGAAAAAAAGTAATCCTAATTGAGGTGTAGATTCATGCATTTTGATCGACAGATGGCACTGTAACCGATTAAGTTAAAAATGGTACAAACTGCTTAAAATGTAACTGAAAATGTAAACAAAATGTTTCAATATTTTTTCAAAAAGAGATTTATAAATTTTTTTTGAAATCGTCTTTTCTTTCCTTTTTATTAAAAATAAAAACAAATAAAACTAAAAAAATATTTTTTTCCCCAAACAACCAAAAAAAAAAAAAAAAAAAGAGAAGCACTGCATTTTAAGAATTCTAGGGGGTTAAAATCTAGCCAAAGGACTCAGAAAGGTTAATTTTAAAAGACGAAGGTGAAATGAGTTGGTTTTGAAACTAAAGGCTTCAATCGAGGAATGAAAAAAAACAAGAAAAAAAAAACAGTTAAATTGTTAGGAGAAATTTTTGAAAATTTTTTGTGTAGCTTTAACGAGTGGAAGCTTTTTAGATAATAATAAAAAAACGTCGATAATTGTAGGTTAAGGATAAAAAGCAAAAGAGTAAAACACTAAACATTTTACCTGAAGAAGGTTGCAAAAAAAAGAGAGTGGCGTTGAGATTGTGAAAAGAAATAACAAAAAAAAAGGAACAAAATCTGAAAAAAAGACATTAAGAGATTAAGAGTTGCAATTCTTCTTCCCGTTGATCAATTTAGTTTTTCCTGTTATCGAAAACACAATGTTTTATCCTTTGATTTAGTTTCCACTTGAGAAATTCTCAATCAGTACATTTAATAAGTATATTTTAGTATTGGTAAAAACAACATTAGTTAAGAAACATTTTATATTAGTAGACTCGGTAGTTTAAGAGAATTTTATTTAAAAACTAATTTTGTCAAGTGTTTTTCTCTAAGTAGGAATCGAGTAGATCTACACATCATTTTTGTGGTGTTTATTTAGATTTTACACAGTGTATAATGAAACTATAAACATTTTTACTAAGTTCAAATCGTAAATAATTAATATGTTTAATTGAGTTACTGTTTTTGTGTAAAAGTGTCATTCAATAAAAAGATAATTTATTTTAATTATTAATTTCACGTTCTAAAAGAATGCCAAACTTTTACGTATTTCATAGTCAAACAGCTTAGTAAAATATATGTACGATAAACTTCAAAATTTATGAAATTTTTGATTCAGTGTAAACTAAGCTAAAATATTCACATTTATTTGTTCCATATTTCGCAATTTTAAGTATTATCAGTGAAAGGCATTTAACGTATTTAATTTTATCTTTATATTAAATTTAAAATATTTAGCTCTTGTTTAAATATTCAAAGCATAAACTTTTTTAGTGAAACGTATCATTACAATAACAATTTTTGCATACTTTTAAATTTTTGTTACGGGAGTAAATTTTTCATTCTGTTTACGATTTTGATAATTGAAATTCTTTTTTGTGAGTTCGATCCCCATCCGGCCGAAAACTCCCCCGTGTAGTAAATGGTGACTGATGCATGTTAAATCTGTCGTGGCACAAAGTCCTCCATGTTCCCACAAAAAATCAACACCTCTGGGGGTACTGAATTAGAGAATGATAGTTCTCTAGTTCAGATCAAAATTGCGATTTGTGGATGAATGGATGGATGCATGATTGAACTTTATAAACTTTTGGAATAACAAACATAGGAATAACAAACTTTTAATATTTTATTGTTTTATTTTTGTTACTATCTGAAATATTTTAATTCATTTTTTTTATTTTAATAAAATGCGAATTCTTTAATGTTAGATGTTATCTATAAATCACGACTAGCAACATCAGTCGATTTAATATCTTAAATTTATAACGCGTTTTAAATATTCATACGGTTCGACATTTATTCATTTGATTATTTTTTTTTAATTAAATCAACTCGAATGAGATACAATTCAAAATAAATTGTCTACATTCAATAAGCTAGTTTGATTTTTCTTTCAATTTACAGAAAAACCTATTCATTTAATATTTCGATCGAGTTACGAAAAGAAATAGAAAGTTATTGTCGGGAAACCCTTTTCATAAGTACCTTTCATTAATTAAACTAAAAGTGTTTATATGAAAATGTAGATGCTATCTTAAATTAAATTTTCTCTCGATCCTCTCAAGTTATCTCGAAAAACGGTAACCGTGACCTCCTTCGTACGAAAAAACTAACTTTTCCGTTGTTTTCTACCAACTTTTCCTTTCCGAATATTCTTAACTAGCTAAAAAGTTCTTTTAAGGCTTCTATTGTGATTCCAAATAGTTTGTTCCTAACAACTTTCGCTTCAATTCTTTCTTGTTTTATCTTCTCGACGCTTCCCATCAGACCTCTGCTTTCTTTGCCTCATTCACTACTTCTTTAATTAGCATTTTTGCTTTCTTTAGTTCTTGGAAAATTATAATGAACTGTGGTGCTCTCTCAGATAATTTTCACAAAAGCTCGACGACTGCTGGCTGACATGCTTGGTTAAGCATCTTTCCTTTCTCTCTCTCTCTGGTTGGGTAAAATGGTTAGAAAAATAGGTTTCGTGTTTCCATTTTATTGTAGTTTCCGAATGCGAGCACGATTCTGAAATCCTCTCAATTGTTTTGTAAGCGCTGACAAGAACCAAGAGTTTCAAAGAAATGTTGAATTTATATTTTGAAGTTCCGTGTTTCTAATTTCATTTAGTATGGAGAAGTGAATGTGGTATGTGCTATTAAATGTATACTTTGAATTTAATTTCGCTGTTCCGTGTTTCTAATTTCATTTAATATGGAGAAGTGAATGTGCTTAGAATGTGTTATTAAATGTATATTTTGAATTTAATTTTGAGGTACAGCGTTTTTAGTTTCATTTAATATGGAATAGTGAATATGACATGTGCTTAAAATATGTTATTAAATGTATACTTTGAATTTAATTTTGAGGTCAGTGTTTTTAGTTTCATTTAATATGGTGTAGTGAATGTGGTATGTGTTTGGAATATGCTACTAAATGCATATTTTGAAGTTCCGTGTTTCTAATTTCATTTAGTATGGAGTAGTAAATGTGGTATGTGCTTAGAATATGTTCTTAAAATTAGAAAATATATCTTCGGAGCTAGTAATTGAATGTAGAACAGATACGACGGTAGCTAGTAATTTAGTGTTGATGTAATACTGCAAGAGCTAGTAAGAGTATGTAAAATGTAAAAGATATACGTTAAGATCTAATAATATAACAATGAATGTAGATGTGTCAGGTAATAAATGAGAATATTTTGTTGAATGTCAAAGAGATACGGTGAGAGCTAAGTATGTTTTTTAGAGATACATAGTGAGAAGCAATAATATTCTATAGAATATAAAAAATATGTATATAGTGAGAGCTAGTAATATTCCATTGGATAGTGAAGAAGGATTATATAACATTTTATAGAATGCAAAAGTTAAAATTAGAAAGTATAAATTTGTTGGAAACAATCGGAATTATATTTTTTCCTATCCCTGGATAATGAAATACTAAGGAGAGATTGCTCTTGAGTTGTTAAAAAAGGTTAACATTGTTCGAACTTAAATTTTTTTTTTTATGTATTTCGATACCAATATACTTTACTGTTAAAATGTTTTTCTAAAAATAAAAAAAGAGAAAGAAAAAAAAATCATTTCCATAGAACAGCAAAAAATGTTGGTTTAATGATTATACTGCTTTGAATTATACAAATTTTGTTAATACGCAATCAAACATATTATCGTTAAACTAATAATTTTTTTAACTAATGTTTTTCAAATTTTATTACATTTACATGTATGTCAATTATCGAGCACAATGAATTAACTTACTGCGTGTAGTATGTATTAATTGCGTGTAGACATCACGTTTAGAATTTTGAACAGGAATAGTTTGAAATGAAAATGAGCATATTTTATTTCTTATCATATTTAAAACATAATGAATGGGAACACCTGAATACTTATCTCTGGATTTATTATTATTATTTTTTTTAAAATTTCAAACTTCTACGCTTTTGCATTATCCCGATTTATTGATTTTTGTCATTTTGATTATTTGCTCTAGTTGTTAAATGTTTATTATTGAATTAATTGGATGGTAGTAAAGTTTCTAATTTTCATTTGTAAGTGCAACATATTTACATTTAATCATTTTTTATTCTAGATGTCTGAAGGCCGGCAGAGTCAAGTGGTTCTGCTGGATGATCGAAGACTGGACATACTTATTAAGGTAAACATAACAAATTTGAAAATTTAGTTAGTAAATATTTTGAAATTTTTCTGATTGAAAAAAAGTGAAAAATATTATACAACATGATCATATCATCAAAAAAAAACAATGACTACATTTTTATAGTTATAAACCTCTTTTGATTATTACTAGTAAATACTACTACTAAGGTATTATTTACCTGTGAAGTAGTTTGAATACTACTTAATTTTTTACGCTCTTTTGAACTATCAAGAAAATATAAATCATTGTTCCTTCATTGCATTTTGTAACTAAATATGCATTATTATTAAACTAAATATGTATACTAAATATGCAGGGCCGGCGTTAATGATTTCAAATTATTAGCCAGTAAATTGTCCAAATATCAAAAGTATTCGCCAATTTTCGAAAGTCTTCGCCAATTGCAAATCTTAACAATTTTTTATGATTAATTTTTTTTCCCATAGAAAAACTATTTTACGGTAATTTGTTTCAGGTTTATATTATTTGGACCCAATTCTAATTGGATATGCGGCCCATCAACGAAAATTACTCTAATCGAATGAAAAATACTGATTTGTTTAGAAAAATTTATTTGGACGTAATTTTAAGGAGGGAGTTAAATATATATTTTTCTTTCCTGTGGAAAAAAATCATTCACCAAAACTCTATTTTTCGTCAAATTTACTATTTTATCTCACTGGACGAGGTGGCGAATGTTTACCGCAGGCCCTGAACATGCATCATATATTTTGCTTAGTAA